TCACAGTTAGATAGTTCATCATTTCATTAAATATAAATAGATTTTTCTTACATATTTAAGGATCAATCTACTTTTAAAAAGAATTTAATTTAAATTCTAAATTTAATTCCATTGTCATCTTGAGTAAAGTGTTAATATGTATTTAAATGAATAGCGCAAGCAAGAGCAAGAGCATAAGAAGAAAAAAACGAATACAAGAGAAAAAAAACAGAATAGGAAAATAAGATAAAGAGAACATCGAAAAAAAAACGAGCTAATCACTCTCATATTACAAAACTCGAAACGGAAAAAACCCCAAAAAAAAGGTGTTGGAAGAGGCTAACGCATTTGCTCTTCGATATATAAGAGAAAATTAATTTAATATCTGCCAATCTTGATGCAAAACAAAAAATGCTTTTAGAAAAAAAAAATAGAAAATATGGAATAAATGGGTAAAGATTGAGCGAGATTCCTTAACCAGAATTAACACATCAACAGAAAGAACATACCTAGAAAATAAAAAACAAAAAAGAAAAAGAATGGTCGCACTAGTTTTTCTTCAAAATCAATTATAATCTTTGACTACCTGATTCTCAAAGAAAAAAAAGAACATCAAAAACAAACGCATAGATAGATTAATTAGATTTTATATCAATATCACAGCGGCCAGCCTCTTGAGCTCATTTCTCACACGACTATTCACTTTCAACAACAAAAAACAAATATGACAATTTATGTTAAATAAAGGCTATTTAAAACAAGTGCATGATGATTATTTTTGGTTAATGTTACGATAAAACCATCACATTGAAATCTGTAAATACCATTGAGACGCCACTAGTTTTTTCATGAACTTACTTGATCCATATTTTAATGAATAATTTTCTCATATTAAGAGAAGTTCATTGATGATATGTGAATTCAAAGCGCACATTGTATTCAAATTCAAATGAGTCATTTGTTTCCATTGAATAGAAATAAAGAAATAAATTAAATGAAGTGGTTTCACTATTCCATTCTCTTCGAATTTTTTCATGGAATAGTTTTAAGCCAATCGATCGAATTTTTTCATTTAATGAACAAAAAGGAAAACTAAAGAACGCCTGGTTCAATTGTATATTTTCACAAAAAAACCATTCTATAAATTTTTTTACAAGAATCCTATTCCAAAGACAAATATCTCTGGAACAATAAAGAGATTTCGATATCTGATTCATGCATATATTTGTGTCTGCAGTTTTCAATATAACGTAACGAATGACAACGTTTACATAAACAAAAACATAACCTTCAAATCAACAAAAAATGGACTAGAATGAGAATGTTTATGTGATCAAAAAAACAACAATCTTTATATTAAAAAAATCTGACTAAGAGTTTTCAGAATGCAAAACGACACCTTTGGATGAAAGACAAAAAGATCTGAATAACAGTATTCAAAATGAAGAAAAACAAGTTTTCATATAAAAAAAGACCTGAATGAACACTTTCAGAATACAAAAAAGCTTTAGATAAACGAAAAAAAATCTAAAGAACAGTGTTCAGGATGAAAGAAAACAAATGTTTAGATCAACAAAAAAAAAAGAGTTGAATAGGAATGTTTACGAACAAAAAATAATAAACATGATTGATCACCATAATTACTGCATCATAAACATTAATCTTTAATCATTCAATCAATTGCAAGACTTTTAACAATTCGTTGAATTTGTCGAATACCTGCATTACGCCAATTATTTCGCTAAACATAAAAAAAAGAAGATTTTTCTAAAGCCAAAACAGTGAAAAAAATAGCGTTTTTCATAATTAATATGTTTGTTGAATGGTATGCTTGCTTGTTTAGATCGTCCATTCGGGCCTGTAGTCTAAAAAACTCAATATTAACTTTGAGTAAAAAATGATTCTGAAAATATCGACGTACCTCGAAGAACACGATCATCTTATCCTTTTGAGGATTTAATATCAATTGAAGCACATTATTTTTGTCGTTTGTAAATAATTCCATCGACTTGATTGTTTTCCAAAAATGTACAACATCACGATTCTAATTTCAAGAATAAATAAGCTATATTTAAAGAAGCATGCTATTTCTACTTTGTCTTCAGATAAGCTGAATTTTTGATATTTGATCTACCACATTACCATGAATTTCAACATGTCGGACTCATCATTCATTTGTTGTTGATAGCTTTTAAAAGCACCAAAGAAAGAATCTTGATTATTCGACATCTGAAAAAAGCAAAGTAAAAATCAAATAATGGATTAAAATATTTAAATATATATGAACTCAAAGAGACAGGTTCACTTCATATGAAAGTGATGAATCGATTAAATGAATGAAACGTTCATGTTATACTACATATCAGATGATGCTTTTCTCTTTCTTTGTCTCTATTTACAACAAGAATAATAATAGTGATTAATGAAAAATAAAAAAACCAATTATATCACTACTGTCTACGTATTCGTTCATATGTTTTCAAGGTAAAAATCTTTGACTAATTTTTATCTGAATATCTGACTAATATTTTCGCGAGCAAAAAAAAAAAAGAAATAAAAAAGAGTGTTTCGACAAAACATTTTAAAGCTAGGTAATTTCATTTTGAAGCTGATTAATGCACATCAATTCGATTCAATCTTGGAATAAATCGATGAATTATGATCTTCTACAAGTTCTATAATTTAATAAGATGGATGCTTCAAACCCCAATAAATACCAAAAACCACTTTTTAATTCACTTAAACTATTATGATTTATCTATCGCATATTTCTAAACCTCATCAACTCGAACTTTTGGATAATAGAAATACAACATCAGAGGTATTTCTTTAGAAACCGAATTCATATTAGCTTGTGTGTTGGAAAATACTTATTATATCATAAATAAATTTTATTCTATTGAATCAAGTTATTTCGATACACATTTAGCTATTTTGTTCTTTATTTCTTAATTGAGTTTTCTCATAAAATTTTGTACACTATGTGATGTCTGTCAGTTGCATAGATCTTGATGGTCGTCGAAAATCTATCATCACCCCAGCCTGACCAGCTGTAAAGGAAAGCTACCGTGATGCTCTATAAAAAAAAAACTTGTTGACGCTGCGATAGTATTCAAAAGAATGTTTCAATTTTCAAGACCGTGATGCGTTTGAACTAGAACTACTACTCTTAGTGATCAGATCTGTAAAATCTTACAATATTGCATATATGGACGCTGACATTCTGAACAAGTTCATGAGTTTTTAAAATTTTTTCTTAAAAAAAAAACAACCACGACAGTGTCGCTATGC